GGGAAAATATTGGGGAAAATATGGGGGGAAATTGGGAAAAATCAGGGAAAAATCGGGAAAAAATTGGGAAAAATATGGGGGAAATACGGGGGGAATATGGGGGAAAATTTGGGGGAAATATGGGGGAAATTCGGGAAAAATTGGTAATAAAATCGCGGAAAATACGGGGAAAATTTGGGGAAAATACGGGGAAAAATGGGAAAAATCAGGGAAAAATCGGCAAAAAATTGGGGAAAATCGGGAAAATATGGGGGGGAATATGGGGGGAAATGGGGGGGAAACTGGGGAAAATATGGGGAAAATTCGGGAAAAATTGGTAATAAAATTGCGGAAAATACGGGGAAAATTTGGGGGAAATATGGGGGGAAATTGGGAAAAAATTGGGAAAAATCGGGGAAAATATGGGGGGAAATATGGGGGGAAATGGGGGGGAAATTGGGAAAAATTTGGGGGAAATTCGGGAAAAATTGGTAATAAAATCGCGGAAAATACGGGAAAAATTTGGGGAAAATACGGGGAAAAATGGGAAAAATCAGGGAAAAATCGGGAAAAAATTGGGAAAAAATCGGGATTATATGGGGGGAAATACGGGGGGAAGTGGGGAGAAAATTGGGGAAAATTTGGGGGAAATATGGGGGAAATTCGGGAAAAATTGGTAATAAAATCGCGGAAAATACGGGGAAAATATTGGGGAAAATATGGGAAAAATCGGGATAATATGGGGGGAAATACGGGGGGAAGTGGGGAGGAGACTGGGAAAAATTTGGGGGAAATACAGGGAAAATTGGTAATAAAATTGCGGAAAATACGGGGAAAATATTGGGGAAAATATGGGGGGAAATTGGGAAAAAATTGGGAAAAAATCGGGGAAATATGGGGGGAAATACGGGGGGAAGTGGGGAGGAAATTGGGAAAAATTTGGGGGAAATATGGGGAAAATTGGTAATAAAATCGCGGGAAATACTGGGAAAATATTTGGAAAAATTTGGGGGAAATGGGGGAAAAACTGGGAAAAATTGGGAAAAATAGGGGAAAATATGGGGGGAAATTGGGGGAAATTGGGAAAAATTTGGGGGAAATATGGGGGAAATTTGGGGAAAATTGGTAATAAAATCACGGGAAATACTGGGAAAATATTCGGAAAAATTTGGGGGAAATGGGGGAAAAATTGGGAAAAATAGGGGAAAATATGGGGGAAATATGGGGGGAAATGGGGGGGAAATTGGGGGAAATATGGGGAAAATTGGTAATAAAATCGTGGAAAATACGGGGAAAATTTGGGGAAAATATCGGGAAAAATGGGAAAAATCAGGGAAAAATCGGGAAAAAATTGGGGAAAATCGGGGAAAATATGGGGGGAAATATGGGGGGAAGTGGGGAGGAAATTGGGGAAAATTTGGGGAAAATACGGGGAAAAATGGGAAAAATCAGGGAAAAATCGGGAAAAAATTGGGGAAAATCGGGAAAATATGGGGGGGAATATGGGGGGAAAGGGGGGGGAAACTGGGGAAAATACGGGGAAAATTCGGGAAAAATTGGTAATAAAATTGCGGAAAATACGGGGAAAATTTGGGGAAAATACCGGGAAAAATGGGAAAAATCAGGGAAAAATCGGGAAAAAATTGGGGAAAATCGGGAAAATATGGGGGGGAATATGGGGGGAAATGGGGGGGAAACTGGGGAAAATACGGGGAAAATTCGGGAAAAATTGGTAATAAAATTGCGGAAAATACGGGGAAAATTTGGGGAAAATATGGGGGGAAATTGGGAAAAATCGGGGAAAATATGGGGAGAAATACGGGGGGAAGTGGGGAGGAAATTGGGAAAAATTTGGGGGAAATATGGGGAAAAATATGGGGGAAATGGGGGAAAAATTGGGAAAAATTTTGGGGCAATACGGGAAAAATTAGGGAAAATATGGAGGGAAATGGGGGAAAAGTTGGGAAAAATTTTGGGCAAATATGGGGAAAATATTGGGAAAAATTTGGGTAAATGGGGGAAAAACTGGGAAAAATTTGGGGGAAATGGGGGAAAAATTAGGGAAAATATGGGGGGAAATAGGGGAAAATTTTGGGAAAATTGGTAATAAACTAATGGAAAATATGGGGGGAAATGGGGGAAAATATGGGGAAAATTTGGGGAAAATATGGGGAAAATTTGGGGGAAATATTGGGAAAAAATTGGGGGAAATATGGGGGAAATTTGGGAAGAATTGGTAATAAAATCGTGGAAAATAGAGGGAAAATATTGGGGAAAATATGGGGGGAAATGGGGGAAAATTGGTAAAAATTGTGAAAAATTGGGGAAAATATCAGGAAAAATATGGGGGGAAATGGGGGAAGATCAGGAAAATTGGGGAAAAAATGGGGAAATTTGGGGAAAATTTGGGAAAAAAAGTAGGGGAAATTTTGGGAAAAATTGGGAAAATATTGAGAAAAATATGGGGGAAATTTGGGGAAAAATTGAAGGAAATTTTGGGGGGGGGGAAAAAAAATTCCAGGTTTTTTCTGGGAATTCAGTTCCCCATCCCACCCAACATCCCCAATTCCAAATCCCCAAATTCCCAAAAATTCTCCAAAAATTCCCAAATTCTGACCATTTTTTGGGATTTTGGGTGGAATTAGAAAAATTCCAATTTCTGGACCCTTTTTTAGGGGTTTTTGTTGGAATAATTCCCAAAAATTCCAATTTCTGCCCCGTTTTTTTTGGGTTTTCAAAATCCCCACATTCCCAACTCCCAAAATTTCCCAAATTCCCCATTTCTGACCCTTTTTTGGGGGTTTTTTGGCCGAATTGAGCTGCCCGACCCATCCTGAACCCCCCAAAACCCCCAATTCCAAATCCCAAAATTCTCAATTTCCAAATTCCAAAATTCCCAAAAATTCTCCAAAAATTCCAAAATTCTTCACTTTTTTGGGGTTTTTTTTAAATGGAATTACTCACAAAAATTCAAATTTCTGGACCATTTTTTAGGGGTTTTTGTTGGAATTATTCCCAAAATTTCCAATTTCTGCCCCATTTTTTTTGGGTTTTCAAAATCCCCAAATTCCCAACTCCCAAAATTCCTGAAAACCCCCAAAATTCCCCAATCCTGACCCTTTTTTGGGGGTTTTCTGGCCAAATTGAGCTGCCCGACCCATCCTGAACCCCCAAAAAATCCCCAATTCCAAATCCCAAAATTCCCAAAAATTCTCCAAAAATTCCAAAATTCTTCACTTTTTTTGGGTTTTTTTTTAATGGAATTACTCACAAAAATTCCAATTTCTGGACCCTTTTTTTGGGGTTTTGGGTGGAATAATTCCCAAAAATTCCAATTTCTGCCCCGTTTTTTTTGGGTTTTCAAAATCCCCAAATTCCCAACTCCCAAAATTCCCAAAATTCCCCATTTCTGACCCTTTTTTGGGGGTTTTTTGGCCGAATTGAGCTGCCCGACCCATCCTGAACCCCAAAAAAATCCCCAATTCCAAATCCCAAAATTCTCAATTCCCAAATCCCAAAATTCCCAAAAGATTCTCCAAAAATTCCAAAATTCTTCACTTTTTTTGGGTTTTTTAAAATAGAATTACTCCCAAAAATTCCAATTTCTGGACAATTTTCAGGGGTTTTTGTTGGAATTATTCCCAAAATTTCCAATTTCTGCCCCGTTTTTTTTGGGTTTTCTAAATCCCCAAAATTCCCAACTCCCAAAATTCCCCAAATTTCCCATTTCTGACCCTTTTTTGGGGGTTTTTTGGCCGAGTTGAGCTGCCCGCTGACGTCCTGGAGCCGCTTCTCCAATTCCCGTTTTTTCTCCAGCGCCAGCTCCTCTTTCGTCTTCCCCACCGGCTTCTTCAGGGCTGGAAAATTGGGGAAAAATCGGGAAAAATTAGGGAAAATTTGGGAAAAAATTAAGGGAAAATTGGGAGAAAAGTTGGGGGAAATTGGGAAAAAAAATAGGAAAAAATAGGGGGAAAATTGGGGGAAAGTTGGGAAAAAATTCAGGGAAAATTGGGAATATTGCAGAAAAAATCAGGGAATGGGGGGAAATTGGGGGAAAATTGAGGAAAAATCGGGGAAAAATGGGGGAAAATTGGAGAAAACCAGGAAAATTGTGGGAAAAATTGGAAAAAAATTGGGGGAAAATTAGGGGAAATTGGGGAGAATATGGGAAGAATTGGGGGGAAAATTGAGAGAAAACTGGGGGTAAACTGGGATAAAACTGGGGAAAATTGGGAGAAAAGTTGGGGAAAATCAGGAGAAAATCTAAGAAAAACTGGGGGGAAAATAGGGGAAAATAGCCAAAAAATCCCCAAAAATCACAAAAAATGGCAAAAAATCCCCCAAAAATCCATGAAATATCACAAAAATGTGCCAATAAACAATCCCTCCAAAATACCTGAAAAATCACAAAAAAATCCCCAAAAAATCCACGAGAAATCATGAAAAAACCCCAAAAAATGGCAAAAAATGTCTGAAAAAATCCCCCAAAAATGGCAAAAAAAATCCCCCAAAAATGGCAAAAAAAATCCCCAAAAAATGGCAAAAAACCCTAAAAAAGTCTCAAAAAAAACCTCCTGAAATGGCAATAAATCGCACAAAAATCCCTGAAAAATCACAAAGAAATCGCCAAAAAATCTCTCAAGAATGGCAAAAAATCCCCAAAAATTCTCCAAAACATCCCCAAAAAATAGCAAAAAAATCTCCAAAAAACGCCAAAAAATCCACCTAAAAATCCCCAAAAAAATCCCCAAAAAATAGCAAAAAATCCCAAAAAAAACCCCCAAAAAATCCCATTTTCCCCCCAATTCCGAACCCACTCACTCTCGCTGTAGGGCTTGCGGGGTTTCTTCCTGAGGCACGAGAGCACGTAGCGCTCCAGCTCGCCTGAATGCAACACCCCCAAACTACAAAATACCCCCAAAATACCCCCAAAAATCCCCAAAAAATGGCAAAAATCCCCAAAAAATCCCCAAAAAATCCCCAAAAAATCCATGAAAAATCACAAAAAAATCCCAAAAAAATCCCCAAAAAATAGCAAAAAATCCCCCAAAAATCTCGAAAAAATCCCCCAAAAATCCCCCAAAAATGGCAAAAAAATCCCCAAAAATCCATGAAAAATCACAAAAAAATCCCCCAAAAATCTCCAAAAAATGGCAAAAAATCCCCAAAAAATCCATGAAAAAATCACAAAAAAATCTCCAAAAAATGGCGAAAAATCCCAAAAAAAATCCCAAAAAATGGCAAAAAATCCTCAAAAAATCCCTGAAAAATCCTCAAAAAAATCTCCAAAAAATGGCAAAAAATCCCCAAAAAATCCATGAAAAATCCATAAAAAATCCTCCAAAAATCCCCAAAAAATCCATGAAAAATCCTCCAAAAATCCCCAAAAAATGGCAAAAAATCCCCAAAAAATGGCAAAAAATCCCCAAAAAATCTCGAAAAAATCCCCAAAAAAATCCCAAAAATTCCCCAAAATCCCCCAATATTCTGAATTTTGCACTCACTCTCGCTGTAGGGCTTGCGGGGTTTCTTCCTGAGGCACGAGAGCATGTAGCGCTCCAGCTCGCCTGAGTCCAACACCCCCAACAACAAAATACCCCCAAAATACCCCAAAAAATCCCCAAAAAATGGCGAAAAAATCCCCAAGAAATCTCGAAAAAATCCCCAAAAAATGGCGAAAAATCCCCAAAAATTCTCCAAAAAATCCCCAAAAATTCTCAAAAAAATCCCCAAAAATCCTCCAAAAAATGGCAAAAAAATCCCAAAAAATCCCTGAAAAATCCCAAAAAAATCCCAAAAAATAGCAAAAAATCTCCAAAAAAATCCCCAAAAAATGGCAAAAAATCCCCAAAAAATCCATGAAAAATCACAAAAAATCCCCAAAAAATAGCAAAAAATCCCAAAAAATTCTCAAAAAATCCCCCAAAAATACCCAAAAAAATAGCAAAAAATCCCCAAAAAATCCATGAAAAATCACCAAAAAATCCCCAAAAATTCTCAAAAAAATCCCCAAAAAAATCTCCAAAAAATGGCAAAAAATCCCCAAAAATCCATGAAAAATCACCAAAAAATCCCCCAAAATTCTCAAAAAAATCCCCAAAAAATGACAAATAATCCCCAAAAAATCCATGAAAAATCACAAAAAAATCCCCAAAAAATAGCAAAAAATCCCCAAAAAATCCCCAAAAAATGGCAAAAAATCCCTATAAAATCTCGAAAAAACCCCCAAAAAATCCCAAAAATTCCCCAACACCCCACTAAAATGGAATTTTGCACTCACTCTCGCTGTAGGGCTTGCGGGGTTTCTTCCTGAGGCACGAGAGCACGTAGCGCTCCAGCTCACCTGAATCCAACATCCCCAAACTACAAAATACCCCCAAAATACCCCCAAAAATCCCCAAAAAATGACAAAAAAATCCTCCAAAAATTAATGAAAAATCCTGAAAAAATCCTGAAAAAATCCTGAAAAAATCCCCAAAAAATGGCAAAAAATCCCCGAAAAATCACCAAAAAATCTCCAAAAAATAGCAAAAAATCCCCCAAAAATCTCGAAAAAATCCCCAAAAAATCCCCCAAAAATGGCAAAAAAATCCCCAAAAAATCAATGAAAAATCACAAAAAAATCCCCAAAAAATCCCCAAAAATTCACAAAAAAATCCCAAAAATTCCCCAAAATCCCCCAATATTCTGAATTTTGCACTCACTCTCGCTGTAGGGCTTGCGGGGTTTCTTCCTGAGGCACGAGAGCACGTAGCGCTCCAGCTCGCGCAGCGTGGACGCTTTGAGCGTCTCGAAGTCGATCTCGATCTCCTCGGGGTTGGAGTCGCGCAGGGACGGTTCCCGCGCCTGGATGATGTGAACGACGCGTCCCAACTTTTCTCCGGGGAGTTTGTTGATGTCCAGGCTCAGCTGCCGCTTCTCGTCGTACGACATCGGCCGCGGCTCCTCCTCCTCCTCCGAGTCCAGCAGCGACGAGGGCGCCAAGGGGAGAGGCGGCTTGGAGCATTTCTTGGAGGTTCTGGGGAGAAAAATCAGGATTTTAATAGAAAATGACCCAAAAAATCGCATTTTTTCTTGATTTTTAAAGGGAGTTTTTGGTCTCGACTCCTCCGAGTCCAGCAGCGACGAGGGAGCCAAGGGGAGAGGAGGCTTGGAGGATTTCTTGGAGGTTCTGGGGAAAAAAATGAGGTTTTTGAACAAAAAAAATCAGGTTTTTTAAGAGAAAATGACCCAAAAATTGCATTTTTTCCTGATTTTTAAAGGGTATTATTGGTCTCGACTCCTCCGAGTCCAGCAGCGACGAGGGAGCCAAGGGGAGAGGAGGCTTCGAGGATTTCTTGGAGGTTCTGGGGGAAAAAAGGGGAAAAAAATCGGGTTTTTTAAGAGAAAATGACCCAAAAAATCGAATTTTTCTTGATTTTTCAAGGGAGTTTTTGGTCTCGACTCCTCCAAGTCAAGCAGAGACAAGGGAGCCAAGGGGAGAGGCGGCTTGGAGCATTTCTTGGAGGTTCTGGGGGAAAAAATGAGGTTTTTGAGCAAAAAATGACCCAAAAAATTGCATTTTTAAAGGGAGATTTTGGTCTCGACTCCTCCGAGTCCAGCAGAGACAAGGGAGCCAAGGGGAGAGGCGGCTTGGAGGATTTCTTGGAGGTTCTGGGGAAAAAAATGAGGTTTTTGAACAAAAAACGACCCAAAAAATCGAATTTTTCCTGATTTTTAAAGGGAGTTTTTGGTCTCGACTCCTCCGAGTCCAGCAGCGA